TCATACTTCGTACATTCCATGTTCTGATGATTAATGGATGTCTGAAGCTGTTTCTCTTCAATTTGAGTGGTGCCACATCAGCAAATGGAGGTCTCGAAAGCTTTACCTTGTCCATAGGAGTAAGGCTGGGCTGTTTTAGTATTTGCTAAATATTTGTGCTGGTCCTATTTTTTATTTTGATGTGATGGTTTATCATTTCTTTTTTGAGGTTACCCTATGATTTATAGTTTTCTTCCCAAGTTTAGAACAGTCCGTTCTATCTTGCAGTTGTCTTTACTTCCCTACCATGTATAAGTTCTGTAACGACAGTTTTTTCTGTCTTTTTGGTCTGCAGTTGTCCTCATTTGTCAATTGATGTTTCTGATTCCCTGTTTACAATCTTGTAGGCTATTTACTTTGGATACTTCCATAGCTGGGTTGGTTTCTGGGTTATATCATCATCTGGGTTAATGGTCAGTTATTGTTTGCTGTTGCTGCTTCTCTGTCCAAAGGTTGGTCTTGTTTCAACAAATTCCATTAATTTCTGCTTATCTGGAAATGTCCTAATTTCACCATATTTGAGGGACAATTTTGCTGGGCACATAATTCTTGGTTGGAAATTTTTCTCCTTCAGGATTTTATATATACCATCCCATTGTCTTCTCACTGGCAAGGTTTCTGCCCAAAAATCCAAGCTTAGTCTTATTGGTTGCCCCTTGTAGGTAACTTTTCATTTTTCCCACGCTGCTCTTACTATTCTTTGTCTTTGGTTTTGGTGAGTTTGACGATAATATGTCTTGGTGATTTTCTTTTGGGTTCTATCCTGTTTAGGATTCATTGGACGTCCTGAATGGATATATTCTCATCTTTAATCATATCAGGGAAGTTCTCCTCCAACAAATCTTGGACAATTTTCTCAGTGGTTTTATTTTTCCTGTTCTGGAATTCCAATGACACATAGGTTATTCCTTTTGATGGTATCCTACATGAACCTTTGGCTTTCTTCATTTTGTTTTGACCTTTTTTCTGATTGATCCCTTTTCAAAGAAGTATTCAGGTATTTGTCTTCAATCTCCCTAATTCTGTCTTCCATTGCATCAATTCTACTCCTTTGCCCTTTCAATGTTTTACCTGTTTCTGACAATTTAGTATTAATCTTCTAGATTTCTATCTGTAGATTTAGAATCATTTCTAATTTTTCATTTATTTTGTCATTTTGTTCTTGTATTTTCTTCCAAAATTCTTCTAGGGTTTTGTCTGTGTTTTCCTTAACCTGTCTCTCAATCCTTTGACAGTACCTAAATATAATTCTTTTGAATTCCTCCTCAGGGAGTTTCAATGGTGTGTCTTCCTGAGGGATGTGTTTTGGGTCTGTATCCTGGTTCCTTGTTTCTCCTGCTTTATCTTGTTTCTTTGTGTGGACTGTGATGCTCTGTTGTCTCCCAGGCATTGTGACATTTTTGTGTTTATATTGAATTGGTGACTGTATTTTGGAGTGACTTGCCCATGATTTTAATTTTCTTTGTATGTTATCTACACAAGCAGGGTACTGTGCTGTGCTCCTCTATTCACTAGTTGACAGTACTTATACACTCACCACTAGTCTCCTTTCCTGTTGTCAGCCTCTTGTATGTCCCTGCAGACCTTGGCAAACAGAGCCTATTCTTAGGGCCATGGAATCTGAATGAGAATGCTAGCACTTTAAAATCCAAAATGGTTGCCACTTGTAAAGATTCAAAATGGCTGCCCCCTCGGTCACTATAAATATCCAAAATGCTGCCACATGTAAACAATCAAAATGGCTGCACCCTCCAAACAGTGGAAGTCAACAGCTCAGGTTGTCTCCCACTTTGCTGTTTCCCTTCCTAGTCATAGGCCACCAGTGCCATCGTCCCTGCAGCCTTTGGTGACCAGGGCTATCAATTCTCAGGTCCCAACACCACTTGGAAATATTTAGGCTGTTGGTCCCGTCAGAGTAGCTGACAATTCGCAGCTCCAACCGTCTCTGTACTCACTTCTGTTTTCGTTTAGGTTTTTCCACTAGTTGGTGCCTAATCCACTTCTGCATAGTTCCTTTCAAAGCTCAGGGCTCCAGGATTATCTTCTGTATCTCTGTCAATTGGTTTTTCTTTTCTTTGTTGAAGAGGGTCTATGTCGCTTCTCTGCCTATTTCTCTATCTTACCGGAAGTCTACCTACATGGACACTCTTATAAAATCATCTCTCTTTAAAACATTTACCAATTACTACAAAATAAATTAAAACTTGAGTCTATGTTTAAGAATGAAGGCTAAATACTCTGGGACAGAAACAACACACTTACTGGAAAGGTATTTGAGTTTTTTTTCACTTTAGGAGCAATTCAGAACTCTCTAATAAGCACCATGAGGCATTTTCCTTTACAAAGATGAGCAAACCACTGTACCTGGTACTTTGAAGGGTACAACATCAGAAAGGAGTCCTTCATCCTGTGCCTTCTTGGCCAGACTGTGAGACCGCAACGCGTATTCATCCTGCTCCAGTCGAGAAACAGCAAAGGCAGCAGCCAGTCGGTCTGCAGAGTGGCCCATGGTCTCACTGGTGGAGAACTCAGCCACCGCAGGAAGCTAGGGAAGAGATATATGAGGACCAAGAACACAGTTAACAAGTGTTATATGACATCTAGAGTTGTTCTACTTTATCAGGAAAAATTAAAGCCTACTATTTGTTTACTATCTATCAATCAAGGCCAGAGAAACTCTTTTGTGTGTAGGACATCCATAAGGAGTTCAAATTTTCTGACCATGTCGCTATGAGTCAGAATTGATTCAATGGCAACAGGTTTGGTTTTGGTTTTTTAATTTTTTTTTCTCTTAATTTTGGCCAATTAATTAACCCGTCCTTGTACCTAACAGAATCTACAACTACTAGAACATAAAAGTTAAGCCCATACTGTCTCAATTCTAAAGCTCTGCAATGAGAAACTTTGGAAACACAAGTCTTTCTGTAAGAGTTTACAAGTCTTACCTCAGGTGCTAGGAAATTCAATCTGAATTTAGAGATCAATGACAGTCGTTGACCCATAGTCTTGGCCTTATTGAGATCAAGCATCATTTTCCTCATTTTCCTCGAATGACGAATAGGGATATCAGACATTAACTCTACACCACCTGCCACAACCACATCACACTGGCCAGAAGCAATCAAGCCAACACCTACAGGGCACAGGTTATACATACATTAACATCTTTTGCATAAAATAATGTCCCACTGATGATTTAAGTTTCTTGATTAAGTACTTGTACAACAGTTATTAGCATCGTACAACATCTTTAATTAAAACACACTCAACATACTAGAGAAAAATATGTTTCATTAAGGCCATCTGGATATCAACTCCTGGAACTACCCATTGGCCCTACTCTCAAAGAAATCACATTCTAAACCAGAACAGTTCATATATTTTACACACCCCCAATTTAGTTTTTGGAAAGATTTTTTTTTCCTATAAGGGGAATTTTAATTTCTAGTTTAATTGTTTTAAAAAACTGTGGTTTGAGTGAGAGCAAATTAGTTTTCCATTCAACAATTTATACACATTTTATTCCACACCACTAGTTGCAATTCTCTAATTTTTATTTACTGACACATGTCAGAGAAGTTCTAGCTTTTGAAATGTAAAGCAACCCCCCCTTCCTTTTTATGCATATTAGCAAGTCTTCTGTTGCTCTAACCAGGAGTTGGTCACACGGTGTATAGTGTGGAGAATGCTCCCAGTCACAGCCTTTGGGATGATTCCTTGATGCCCATAAGGTAGGCTGTCCAAACCAGACTTGATATTACTAAAAGAGCACGTGATTACTAAGTCTTTCAGGTTTCCTCTCTTTTCACATTAAGGGTAGATGCTACAAAATGTCTCACAATTTTGCTAAAATTTGTTAATGGAATTTGCAGCTAATTATAAAAATGCTGAGGACAAGAAGTAGATGGTACCCAGATACCACTCCCAACCCTTTGAAAGGGACCAAAATTGGAGATTTGGGATAGAGTGGGAGAAAAATGTGGAATAAAACTCAAAATCATGAAAAAGACCAGGCTTACCAGTCTAATAGAGACTAGTGAAACCACCAAGAGACTATGGCCCCTACTCAACCTTTGGGCCTGGAGATGAACTCACACCATGGCTTAACTTTCAGCCAAACAAGAGACAGGGTTACAAGGGGAACAATTATACCAGGGAAGTATACTCCTGAACAATCAATCATGGGAGATCAGAAAGGCAGCATTTGTACAGCATTTACTCAGAAGGCAGGAATGCATAGGAGAGGAGGACACAGAAAGGAAGTGGGAAGAGAGCTGTTACATTGTGGGGATTACAATCAGTGTCACAAAGCAAAATATGTCACAAAACAATATGAACTGTATAGAAAATGACTTTGCTTTGTAAACTTTTACCCAAATCACAATAAAAAGTTAAAAAAAAAAAAAAAAGCAAAAAAAAAAACAAGGCTATCAGGAGAAAGTGAAGGAAAGAGTTGTATTGCCTAAAGCAGTGATCTAGAACTATGGAAATGTGTGTGTGTGTGGGGGGGGGGCATACCATACCAGAATTACATAGGGAACATAGGGAGCAGGTGTTACACTAGTTATACCTCAAATTTCAAAGTATCTTTCCAGAGACATACTCTTCCAGTTGATAATCCCTGATGTAATCAGCTATATCACTGGTACAGAAACTGCATTTGTGATTGTGCTCCTTGGGTATAGAGTATTTATAACTATCCATAAAAGCCAAAATTCAGGACTTCTGATAAGATGGCGGAATAGGCAACCAAGCTACACAGACCCTCTTCAACAAGGAAAAGAGAAACCAATTGACACGGACACAGAAGATAATCCTGGAGCCCTGAGCTTTGAAAGGAAGGATACAGAAATGGATTAAACACTAACTAGTAGAAGAACCTGAATGAAAACAATTCCAGGGACCTAAGAATAGGCTCTGCTTGCCAAGGGCAGCATGGACATACAGGCCACTGACAAATGGAAAGGAGACAGCTGGTGAGTGCATAAGTGCTCCCAGCTAGCCAACACAGGAGCACAGTATCCTGCTTACCCAGATACATCCAAGGGAAAAAAAAAAAAAGAAAGAACAAAAATCTTGGACGAATCATTCCAACATACAATCACCAATTAAATATAAACACAAAAATGTCACAATGTCTCAGAGACAACAGACTATCACAGTCCACACAAAGAAGCAAGATAAATCAGGAGAAACAAGGTACCAGGATACAGACTCAGAACACATCCCTGAGGAAGAAGCAGTATTGGAAATCCCTGATAAAGAATTCAAAAGAATTATAATTAGGTACTGTCAATGGATTGAGAGAGAGATCAAGGAAGATACAGAGAAAACCCCTAAAACAATTTCCGAATACAATACAAAAACAAAATGACAGACTAAATAAAAAATTAGAAATGATACAGAATATTAATACTAAATTCTCAGAAACACATGACACACTGAATGGGCAAAGAGTAGAACTGAATCAATGGAAGACAAAATTAGTGAGAATGAAGACAAATACTTCAATACTTCTTTGGGAAGGGATCAGTCAGAAAAAAGATCAAAACAAAATGAAGAAAGCCTAAGGTTCACATGGAATACCATCAAAAGGAATAACCTATGTGTAATTGGAATTCCAGACCAAGAAGAGACCAACTAAACCACAGAGAAAACTGTGAAGATTTCTTGGAAGAAAATTTCCCTGATATGATGAAAGATGAGAATCTATCCATTTAAGAAGTCCAACGAACAGGATAAACCCCCCAAAAAATCACCAAGACATATCATAATCAAATTCATCAAAACCAAAGACAAAGAAAGAATCCTGAAAGCAGCATGGGAAAAATGAAAGTTTACCTACAAAGGGCAACCAATAACACTAAACTCTGATTTCTTGGCAGAAACCTTACAGGCAAGAAGGTAATGGGATGGTATATATAAAACCCTAAAAGAAAAAAATTTCCAACTCAGAATAATGTACCCAACAAAGTTGTCCCTCAGATATGATGGTGAAATTAGAACATTTCCAGATAAGTAGAAATTAAAGGAATTTGTTAAAACCAGACCAACCTTACAAGACATGCTAAAGAGAGTCCTTTGGACAGAGAATCAACAACAGCAAACAACAACCAACCATTAATATCATGATGACATAACCCAGAAGCTAACCCAGTTATTGAAGAATCCAAAGTAAACAGGCCTACAAGACTGTAAACAGAGAACCAGGGACACCAATTGGCAAATGAGGACAACTACAAACCAAAAAGACAAGAAAAACTGTATAGTTACAGAACTTCTAAACAGTGAGGAAGTCAAAACAATTGTAAGCTAGAAGGGACTGTTCTAAACTTGGGAAGAAAATTATAAATCACAGGGTAATCTCAAAGAAAAATGATAAACCTTTACATCAAAATAAAAAAGAAGACAAGCACACATATTTAGCAAATACTAAAACAGTAGCAACAAAGGAAGTGACAACACAATTCATAAACAAAACTAGCTCAGCACAGAAAATTATATGGTACAAAAAAATCACCATGAAAAACATGTAATAAAATAACAGCAACAAATTCATACTTGTCCAAAATTACACTGACTGTCAATGGATTAAATGCAACTCAAGAGACAGAGAGTTGCAAACTGGATAAGAAATTATAACCAATCAATATGTTGTCTACAAGAGACACACCTTAGAAAGAAATACACAAATAGACTAAAAATCAAAGGTTTGGAAAAAGATATGTCAAGCAAATGGCAATTATAAAAGAGCAGGAGTGACAGTGTTAATTTCTGATAAAATTGACTTTAAGACAAAAAACACCATAAGAGACAAGGAAGGCCATTATATAATGATTAAAGGACCAATTGAACAAGAGGACATAATCATAACAAATAACTATACACTCAACGAAAAGAGCCTCAAAACACATAAACTAGACTAACAACACTGAAAAGACAAATAGATGACTTCACAGTCATAGAAGGAGACTGTAATACACCACTTTCAATCAAAATTAGAACAACTGGAAAGAAACTCAATCAAGATGCAGAAGAACTAAACAATACAATCCACCAACTTGACCTTACAGACATCGACAGAGCACTTCACCCAACAGCAGCACAATATACATTCTTCTCCAGTGCACATGGAACATTCTCCAGGATAGATCATATGTTAGGCCACAAAAGAAGCCTTACTAAATTTAAAAACATTGAAATACTGCAAAGCATCTTCTCAGATCACAATGCTATAAAATTAGAAATCAACAATAGGAAGATCAACAGAAAAAGAACAAACACATGGAAACCAAGTAACACTCTCCTTGAAAATGACTGGGTAATACAAGAAATAAAAAAGGAAATTAAAAAATTCCTTGAATCAAACGAGAATGAAAACACAACATACCAAAATCTTTGGAACACAGCAAAAGCAGTGATGAAAGACCAATTTATAGCAATAAATGCACACATCAAAAAAGAAGAGCCAAAATCAATACCTTAAGACAACATCTCCAACAACTAGGGAAAAAGCAGCAAAAAAAAAAAAAAACACCTACAGTCATCAGAACAAAAGAAATAATAACAATTTGTGCAGAAATGAATAAGACAGAAAATAGAAGGGCAATAGAAAAAAATCAACAAGACTAGAAGCTGGTTTTGTGAAAAGATTGGTAAAAATGAAAAACCACTGGCATATTTAACAAAGGAAAAGAGGGAAAGAATGCAAATAGCATGAATAAGAAACAAATGGGGCGACATCTCAACAGAACCAACAGAACTTAAAAGAATAATATCAGGATACTATGAAGAACTATACTCCAACAAATTTGGAAATCTAGAAGAAAGGGACAGATTTCTAGAAACATACTACTTACTTAAACTAACACAGACTGAGGTGGAAAATTTGAACAAACCCTAACAAAAGAAGAAATTGAAGAGGTCATAAAAAAATTACCAACATAAAAAGCCCTGGCCTAGATGGTTTCACTCAAGAATTCTACTGAACATTCAGAGAAGAACTGACACCAACGCTACTCAAACTGTTCCAGAACATAGAAAAGGATGGAATCCTCCCAAATTCACTTTTATGAGGCAAGCATAACCTTGATACCAAAACCAGGCAAAGACATCACTAAAAAGGAAAACTAC